CACATGCAAATCATATCTGCAACTTGCATTTATTTAGCAAACTGACTCAATTTCAGCGGCCATAATTCGAAATAAACGTCAGAATACTATTATAAAAACTTAAGCTCATTACTCTATCGGAAAGAAATACGACGAGGTTTGAAAACTTTGAAGTGGACCCAGACCACGAGAAGCTGTCATTAAGCGGAAAAAAGACAGTCATTTCGTTAATAACGACCTGTATATTTACAATCATTATGATGATCTAGTCACCTCCAATTAAACTTCTGCACGAAAACACGTCGATGCTAGGATCAGTATATCGTTCAAAAGTAACTTTAAAACTCCATTTCCCAAACCAAGAAGAGTGTTTTTTTTTTTTCAATTGAGATAGACACAAGGCATGTAACACATATTTTTCCCATGCCTAACAATGCTGTCTCGGTGGCAAATCATCTGATTTGTCTAAAATCAAGAGATTCCGAATATTTGCGGTTGAGAAACTGAACGGTACTCAAGATTCTTTTACAGCAGGTATCTCATTCGTTTTAAAAACATTTCAAGTGTTTGCTCTAAGGTCATGTTTGCTTATTCATAGAGCTTACGCAGAAGCGAGAAGCTACCATACAAAAAAGAGCGACAATAGTGGAATTTTTACTCCAAATGGTCAAAGTGTTGATGCAGTTTCATGTCTTCGTTCCGATAAGGTCTTCTCTAAGAGCGGCGCTGTTATCAGCGACAAAAAAAAAAAAGGTATACGCGGGCTTTGCAAAAGTAGAAATTCTTCTCTACGGTAGATAAATCCCATTCCCTATTTCCCACTTCCAGTTTCCTGTTCCTAATTTTACAGATAGTTAGAAAAAAACGAAAAGAAGTACTATTCCATTCAAAAGAAACTGGTAATAATAAGAATGATAATAATAATAATAATATTTGGAATAACTATTTTTGGGAAGCAGATGGTATCTAAAAGTAATCCTCCGGCAAACAGTTGTGACGAGTTTCTTGAAAGCGTCAAAATGAAATAAATTTTATAACGGCCTTCACCATGGTCCTGTTTGCCTCGGTACCAAGTCATTCAGCCTCGTTTTCAACCGGCAATTCCACGGTGAAGACGGTAGCCAATCAGGTTGCGAGAATTCTTCCAGCTTTGCAAATTCAACGTTTGAAGTTAACAAATTAGGTATCCTCTAGTATGCTCAGAAAAAAAATTGGAAGATTGATAATTCCTCAGTTTTTTCCCCCTACATCTGCAAAAAAAAAAAAAAACAATTTGTGATTTCAGTCTGTTCAAGAGAAATCCTCTTTGAAGCGAAAAACAACTCACAATTATGTAACTAAACTCCCTCGCATTTCTATCGACAACCTTCATTTTAAAACGATTCAAGGTTATCTTTTAATGGCTTGCACTGGAGATTGAAGAAGTTAAGTCTAAGTCGCAATCGGCTTTCTCTGATCATAATCTGTTTTTTATTTCGGCTTGCGTACACGTGAGGGATATTGACATAAACAAATCTGGAGGAAACTTGAAATGACGTCAAGACGAGAGGAGAAAAAAATGCTTTTAAAAATTTTGTAAATATTGTCAAACTAGCATATATAGGATAAAGCGGTAATTTTCTATTCCTACGTAAGAACCTTCTCATAATCGACCTTTGAAGTGATTAATAAATTTTTGCTTTTCTCAGTGCTGTTTCAGCGGCATATGTATCGCACTTTTGCGTAAGCAATGCCGAAACTGGAAAACAGAATTTGTTTTGTTCCTGCCGGCGTTATATGAATAAGATGGTTGATGGAAAAAAAAATTATAATAAGTATGTTACTCTTTATATTAAAATTGAGTCGAAAAACAAAAATAATTATAAATATGCTGATCCTAAAGTCAAAAAACAAATAAATTTTCGCTCTCTTAGCCATCGTTAACAGCGGTAACAAAACAGACCTCCTAGAGGTTTTACATGTAATACACACGATGACTTTGAAAAGGAAGTCCAATTTTATATTCTGGTATCGTTACGCGACGAATTCCCAATCGACTTTCATCACATCATGTTCAAATCTCCTCATTTTCTTTCGTTTTTCTCTCTCAAAACATGTCTTGTCGTTTTCATTAATGTGCCGAAGTTATCATTGAACCGGCGTCGACGAAAAGGTTGCTTTTCGAAATTTCGTAGTTAACAGATTTCAAAGCCCGAAGGCGCGAGAAGTGCGCGGTGACAAAACTTAGAGTTCAAGATTAATTCAAGAAACACTCCGGAAAATAGAAATTGTCAAAAACGATGATGATCACTTGTTTCAGAAATTCGTAGCGATAATTGGAACGGCGAGGTAGAAATGTGATGACAAATTGATCTCGACAGGTCTGAAATGGGGCCGTTCTTACTGGGTTCAACTCTAATCGTGCACTCGTGAAATATGGCAGTTTTCTAGTCTTGTGAGTGACAAGTACGTGTTGATTTGTCTCTCCGACAAGATTAAACCCGAATCTGTTAGCTGAGAATGAATAGGCTGTCCATAGCCGCAATAAAAAACAAATTGTATTAGTTTTGATCTGCAGGATTCTTCTTTTTTTAATAACTAAGGAAACATTTCTAATTTCCCATACTTAGTTTGATCTCGTAATTCACTGATGTCTTCCGTTTGAGCGCGTTTGAGTTATAAACAGTTTCTGAAAGACCTCCGACGCTTATTGTTGTTTCGTTCAATAAAGATTCACGTGAAAAAAGGCACAGCAGAAGTCTGCCTGGTCATTTCACAGAGATTCGCACAGGACTCGCATTAAAAGCTTACGAGAAACTCAAACTGGTAAAGTATTTGCATTTTCTAAGTTAAGTACAACAGTTTTCTAAGATTCATGCTACATTCAGGGAAAGGATTCTGCTGTGCACGCAGTCTGCGATGATATCTTCCGCGTGAGAAAGAAATTCGTCGTTCAGTGTATTTTCAAGTTCTTTTAAACCAAGAGTTGTTCAACTTGAAAAAATTGATAGATCGCATGCTTTGAAAATTCATCTGTTAAGGCAATGCATCCCCAATTGGCGAAATTCGTGTTTTGGACTTGAAATTTAGGAAACTCTGTCAATCTTTAGCTTAAACAATTAGGGTTTGCAGATGTTACTCAATCTAAAGCTCTAGATCAAAATTATTTAGAAGAAAGCGACCTCTTATAGTTGAACAACTTTTACGAGAGTCGGCAATTAGACTCTTAAACAATTCTCAAACTGATTCCTCTTTCAGCCTAGAGTACGTTTTCATGGGGTTTAAAACGTGATAAGCCACGCGAGACGTCGCGAGAACACTCGAAATGCGTGAAAGTCACGAGCCGTTAGGCGAAAAACAAAGTAGCAGGCAGAAATAAGAATTCGCAGCTGACAAGAAGAATACGCAAACGTTGTGGTCAGAATATTTGTCTGACTTTACAATCGCGAACTCAAGCGTCCGGAAACTTTGCTAGCCTGGGGCACAGTTAGGGTGTTTCCTTTGGAATAAAGATTTAGTGCCAAAAATCTTTTCCCATTTCGTTAACTTAATTCTCAATTTTAAAAATTAGGGATTCACACCATAGTGCCGACAGATGGAAAGCAGCGAAGTCGAAAGATATCTTGCTGAGCTGTGAACAGAACTTCAACTGTAGTTAAGATATTATATCGTCGATATAATATAGCGATAGATATCGTCTTAAAATAGAGCTCTCACTGAAGCGTTGCCTAAATCGATAGCGACTGCTAAATGCTAAATTTTGCAAACACACCTTTACACCAGCTCGAATCGTCTAGAATTCTAATTCTAGCTACGTTGCTTGTTGTGGCTTTGTGGTTTTCGTTCTCTTGTAAATATGACTTTCAGGAAAATTAAAAAATGAAATGTTCCATTGGTTCATTGTTACCACTTTCCTGAAGCCGAGGGAATGAAAGCTTTCGTTTCTTCAGCAGCAGTATTCACCATTACTGCGAGGCAACTTTAAAAAATGCTACAATTGCATGTTTGTGATGTTACAGCGTAAGCGTATTTCCAAACATGAGTTCGAACTGACCGATCAGAGAATGCTATCTATGTAAAGTTGCGTAATGAAACAAGTTGTTCAAGCTGACCGCTTAAATGTGATGTCATCGAACATGAGCTCAAGTTACTGTCTTGATTTGTAAAGCGGCACTTTTGTGGAGTTTTAATAACAGATCGATTATAATACAACAGAGTAAACGTGACAGAATATGTAATATTACAGAATATCGCAGCGGTGAAAAATAACATAAAAATTACCGATTATCTTGCACATAGGTGAAGTATATCATTTGTATGACGATGTGGTCCGCCACTTCCGATAAGTCGAGATAAGAAGTGCACATCATGAGGACGTGACTCAATCGTGAGACAAAATTCAGATACGAGGATAATCACTATGACTAAGCGCAACCTTTTTAACGATATTAATCGATTTTTATTAGTTTTTTCTTTTTTAACGAGCTGAGAGCGAAACATATGTTGCATATGATCCCAGAGGCATATCTCGGTTACTGCGATCACTAAATATTTCACTGAGCAGAAATGATTGAGGACAAAATTGAAAACTGAAGAAGAAACGAAAAACACCTGTAAGCGAGCAGAAAATTCTCTTTTGTAGGGGCGATTTTTAAGGTAAGCAAAACTAACGGAAAATGGGATTACAAATTGGATTAAAACCCTGGTTGGAAAGCATTGAGTTTTAAAATCTATTTTATGTAATTTTTTTTATTTGATTTCAATGTTTCAAGAGTACTTTTCATAATGACTGGCATGAAGGTTTTGAATCAAATCAAACGCTAAAGAATCTGCCGCCAAGCTTTCATACTGAGTTAACTTTTAGGAAAACATATAAAAACTCCTTCATTTCAACCGTTTAAATAATTTGAGCGGAGCTCTCTGACATATCACTGGAACATCGCAACAACGTACCTTGTAATTTAAAATCACTGCGAGAAGACATTTCTGGTTAACCTCATAAACCAGACTATTCGTGCTTATTTTATTTTTTTTTTTCGCAGGTGAGCATTGAGGAGAAAAATGTACACTGGCTTCGCAATCTTTTTCTCTGTATTAATATTTATTAACCTGGTGGGAAACACCCTCGTAATTCTCGCAGTTAGCCTAAACAAGGCCATGAGATCTCCAATCAACTACCTGTTGATCAACCTGGCAACCGCTGACATGATTGTGGCATTGTTTATTGGAATACCATTCGTCGTCACACCTACCCTCACCCACCCCGAGGGGAAATCAGGCGACATCCTCTGCAAGCTGTTCACTGGGGGTAACGTGGGATGGGTAGGTGCGCTGGCTTCAGTTTTCACTCTGGTGGCTGTCGCGATTGAGCGTTATGGCGCTGTGTTGTATCCACATAGCCAGAAAGGAAAACTAACAAAAACCAGATTAACAATCCTCATTGCCACTTGCTGGACGCTTTCTGCTTTGTGGGCTATCCCAGGGTTCAATGCCGTGACGTACATCTCGGATATAAAAAGCTGCGGGCATAGCTGGTCTAAGCCAATCTATGCACACTTCTACACGGTTGGGTGGTCTGTGGTCGCCGGTGTCATTCCTATAGGAATATTGGGAGCACTGTACTCGAGAATGGTGTACCACCTATGGCTCAGAAAGGATAACATTAGAGAAGCGACCCAGAAAGCTTTGAAACGCCACCGGAAACGCGTCACAAAGATGGTCGTTGTCGTGACGGTTATTTACGTTTTGTGCTGGGTTCCTGAACTGTTAATATACTTTCTGGGTTTTACCGGCACCATTACTCTTGTAGGGGTCCATCACACGATTGCTTCAGCCTTAATTGTCTTCAACTCCAGCGTGAACCCGATTGTGTACAGCTTACAAAGCAGTCAGTTCAGGAAGCACTTGACCGATTTGATTTGCTGCAAGCGGAACAGGGTGGCACCCATGAGTTCTAATGCTACAGCAAGCACAGGAAAACGACAAGATTTGGAAATGGAAGGGGAAATAAACATGACAAGACATCCAAGTCAAGACGTGGAGTCAGTGAAGGTGACGTAGAGCATTTTGGTACGAGACACTATTACCATGAGAAACAGGGAAACCAGGATGACCGCGATGACCACGGTTCAAATTGGGAAGCTTGTTCTCAGTCTAAGAAGGAAAGAGGCTGAAAATGGAAAATGAATGAGTTACCCACAGAATATTGCCCAGGACAAAAGAGCGGACTTTATATTTGTTTCAATATTACACACTCGAACTTTTATCATTAGCATTCATTGCTTCATTGTGAAGATAAACAATTCTCTGTTTTCCTGGTTTTTATTCTTTGCTCAGGGGGGGGTGTGACAAGAATAAGGAAGTTTTAGAGTGACTGAGCATGCTTCAATTATTTGCATATATTATCTCATGTATATAACAATCTA